TACAAGACTTTCGTATTTCTGTGTCTCAAGTCCGGTTTGAAATAAAATGTGCGAGCGACATCCAGTTAGAACGATCATATTCGTGCATTGAATCCCAAGTTTTCGTAATGTGTGATACGGTTTGGCAAAACAGCCGACGTTTTGTCGACCAGCAAGGCGTTGTCTTCTAAACGTTATATCAGTGATAAATCGAAATAGAAGCTGAATGTTGAAGCATAATAACGATTCCCGATTTAACTGTTAGATCAATTTTAATTGATTTTATGACATTCTTATTGAATAAAACATACATAACTAAGTTGAGTAGGAATAGACAAATATATATATATTGAGACGGGTTACACAGCACATTGGGTGGACGCGTTTCGTCTAAATGACTTTTTCGACACCCTTTTTCGATGGATCCGATGGTGGTATTCATCTTATAGTACATTTTAGTGGTAAGAAAAACTCACTTGCATGAATCCCCAATCCCCTTATATCATGCTCGTATTAACCCTCGCATGTGTAGGGGGGGGGGTCGGATGGACCCCCCCCCCATGGTTTTTCGCGAATAACTCGCGTAAAAAGCGGCCGATCGCGACGAAACTTTCAGTACCCTCACATTGATCAATTTCACACCTACCCTGAAAATTTCATGACCCTGGCCCAAATGACCTTTGACCTGTGACCTCTTTTCCGAGACCATGTTTGGCCGGAATCGCGATTCTGCGTATGTCGGCTCGCATTAGCCGCGCGTTTGCAAGCTTTTCGTGGTTTCAAACGTTCAAACATGTGATTTGATGTTGCTTCCATGCATTAGGGTGGGTGTCAAGGTCACCTGAAGGTCAGGTCAGGTCATTGACCTTTGGTGACCTCGGGTGACCTCGGTTCACTTTTTCGAGCTGTACATGTTTCTAGGCTAGTTTTTGGAGCTGAATTCGAATTTAGCAACCATTTGAACATTTACGAAGTAGTTTTGGTGCCTTCGTAACATGTTACGAAGCTGTCAGAGGCGGTTGACACGTACTACGAATACCCGTCAAGACGCCTACTGGTTGACCTGACCTGACCTGACCTGACCTGGTCTAAATGCTTAAAAACATCATCTGTGATCAAAACTAACACAATATTCGTGATCAGCACCCCGAAAAACCCCTTAGCAGCCACACTTTACGACTTTCTAACAGGTCCCGATTTTCCCGACTTTGGGTCATTGACCTGACCTGGAAGGTCAACCAATGACCTAGGACCTTAAAATTGGGTATCATCGGCTTCCTCTCGTCACGGGCAACACGCTCCTTTTTTCCGCGAAGCTCTAGCTCGATCAGGGGCCAAACGGCAAGGGGGGGTCCAACCGACCCCCCCCCCCCCCCTACACATTAGAAGCTGGCAAACGCCGCACACATGCGAGGGTTAAGTTAGTTCGATAAATGGGCAAGAATTGCTTTAAAGTTTTGGAAAATACATGAAAGGCCGATGATTGAAAATCGAGCATGTATTTTTTATCTCATTTGGCAAAATGTTGATAGCGTAATGTCGTTTACGGTAGTTTGTACGTTTATTTTTGTGCTTTCATTTCGCAAATTAAACTACATGACACCTCAACATCTAAAATAAGAAAGAATGATAATAACAACAATAAGCTGATTCATTCATTTTTAGAGTAAACTTCAATCGATTCCCAAAGGGTTCCCAAAATCTGGTGTGTCTGCCGTGCGCCATCTCTGAACTAAAGCTTGGCCCGCCGAAAAATATGGGGACGTTCGCCCCACTCCCCCTCCCCCCCGCACCAGTTTAACCGCTTACCACTTCGTCACTTGACGGCATTGGCCTGAGCTGGCCTGAGCTTAGCTGAGGCGAGCACTCCTGTCACGCTAACCGTAGTCGCCACCATCTCCTGGCCTTAGCTATATTTTCAAAGGCTTCTTTATATTGCTTACTTCTGAAGGAGCGCTCACCGTCTCTACAATGGCACAAAACGTCCCTGTTTAGAGAGGTAGATATGCACTAGGTACTAGGTACTAGGCAGCCCTGCCGCCCTAGGATACTCATAAGTGTTTAGGTAAGAGTGCCACGTAGGTGGAGCTTTTAAATGCCCTAAGCATAAAACAACGTTTACCTATTCGTTCGGGCGAATGAAACGTCTAAAAACTAAAAAGGCTTTTAGTTTTAATCTTTGGTATTTTGGTATTTGGTATTGACCAATACCTATACATACGCTGCAACGTTTATAGCCTTAATTTTATCACCGATGAATCACAAATGATATCTATGAAACTACGAGCAGATGTAGGTATCTCAATTTGTAATCATCACTACGTCTGAGCAAAACGGTGTGACGCACACGCGTTTCTCATTCCTCGATTTTGTGTGTATGAGTGTGTGGCGTTCCAGTCAGACTTGCGGTTTGTTGTGGGCGGAAGAAAGGCGGCCTCGGGGTTTATCTTCCCGGCCGAGCGCTGGATGGGACAGATCGCAGTGAACTCTGGAAGAGCACGGACAGGACCGGTCCTGAGTATTGTGTCAGCGCAATCATCTCAGAGAGCCGAGAGGTCCTGCTTGTGCGAGCGAAACTGTTCCTTTGCTAGCAACGCGTCAAATATCCAGTCAAGCAGACTTCATCGTCCATCTAGTTACAATACCGTGCTGACTGCTGATAAATCCTAACGCAAACTAAACGAACCAGACAGAAGAGCATTTCAGTGTCATTGAAGAACTCGGCGTTCCTTCTGCTTCATCTGCCACATCACCATGTTCATGTCAACCGGCTCAATCTTCTACCGTACTCTGGATGAGCTGCCCACGCTACCAGACGCAGAAAACGGTACTCTCAACAAACCGGCCCCCTCCGATGGCAAAAACAATCCAGGCTGCCACGAAGACGGGCCAGATCGAGGTAAGAAATGCGTCAAGGCAGACGAACTGAAGGCCAGAGAGGCCTGCTCGGTTCACTCCGGAGGCCGGGCTTCCAGGTGGCGCCTTCCAGCCCGCTACCGAGTCATGCTGCTCCTCGTCTGGGGCTTCGCCGTCCAAATGGCCCTGAGAGTCGTCCTCAACGTGACCATCATCGCCATGGAGACGCCGGCCGAGCTGACGCCGTCGAACATCTCTGGGGCACTTCGAGTGCCTCTCATTACAACCACCGTCATCCGTCCTGCTCTGCCCTGGGAGGCGGTGCTGCCGCTCAGTGTGGACGCGAGGTGGACGGAGATGACTTCCAACGCCGCGGACTCTCCCTTCAGTGCTAAGCTGCTGGTGAACACAGAGGAGTCTGAGGAGGTGCTGGTGTCGACGGAGACGAATCAGACGGTCGGCACCGGAGGAAGTCTGCAGCTGGATAGTCTCAGTCGCGGCCTGGTTCTCTCCTCCTTCTACTGGGGCTACATGGTGTCTCAGGTGCCCGGTGGTCGCCTGGCCGACCGGTTCGGCGCCCGGCGTGTGTTGGCTGTCTCTCTGGGCATCACCAGCCTGCTGGCACTGCTGCTGCCGGTGGCCGCTCAGGCCGGCGCTACTGGGGTCATCGCGGTACGGCTGCTGCAGGGACTGGCCACGGGCCCGGTGCTGCCGAGTCTGTTCCCGCTGCTGGCGCGCTGGCTGCCGGCCGACGAGCGGCAGACGGCGTGCGCGCTCATCACGGCTGCCCAGCTGCTGGCCGTGGCCGCCATCAGCCCGGCGGCTGCCTCACTCAGCGTGGCGCTCGGCTGGCAGAGCGTGTTCTACGTCACCGGCGGCATCGGCATGCTGTGGCTGCTCGTCTGGTGGCTCTGCATGTACGACTCGCCGGCAGAACACCCGGCAGCGTGTGAGTGCGAGCTGCGGAGGATCGGAGTGTCGGCCTCGCTGCCGGCCTCCTCCGCCACGCCGCCGTACTGCGCTATCCTCTGCTCGGCACCAGTCTGGGCCATCGTCATCTGTGAGGCGGCCAACATGTGGGGCCAGCAGCTGCTGGTGACGCTGGTGCCTCTCTACCTGAAGGACGCAGTCGGTCTGGACCTGCACACTAGTGGAATTCTCAGCGGTGTACCGCACATCGGACGCGCACTGCTCGGTCTCCTGCTGGGGCTGAACGGCGACCTGGCGCTGCGCCGCGGCTGGCTGAAGCCACTGGCGCTTCGTCGACTGGCCACGGTAGCCAGCTGCGGAGGCGTCAGCGTCTGTCTGCTCTCCCTGCCGCTGGTCGCCCACCTGCCGCCCGCGGTGACGGCGGCGCTCTTCTGCCTGGCCGGTCTGGCCACGGCCTTTACGACCGTCGGACACCCGCTCAGCACCATCGACGTGTCTCCGACATTCTGCGGCACCGTGTTTGGGCTGGCCAACACGGCTGGCGGCGCTGCCTCGCTGCTCAGCCCGCTGGCGGCCGGCGCTATCCTGGATGGCTCCACGGGCGCCGAGTCGCTGGCTGGCTGGCGAATCGTCTTCTGGCTCGCTGCCGCAGTGTTTATCCTTGGAATGGTCGCCTTCCTCATCATGGCCTCGGGTGACCGGCAGCCATGGGATGCCGAAGCCGACAGCTCGCAGGAGAAACAGCCGATCGTCGAGACGGCCACCGTAGACGGGGTCGAGAAGGTGGCCGAGAAATGTTAATAGGGTCCACAAAACGAAAATAATGAACATCGCAGAACGACACTTGCGCTATGTCGCATGTGTTCGAAGACAAATACCTGCTACCTACTAATGCGTTATGCCTATCATGATCGTGGTCCATGACCGTAGCTCGATGAATGAATCGCATGTGTACGTACAAATGTCTGGTTAGAACTTCACTTGCTTTCGATCGACAATCCTTTATGATTATATCTGACCCAAATTGGCATATTTTCTATGATGTGAAATGTAATATACCTAATAAAATAAAATAGGTATTCTTGTCACTCTCCTTTGGAACACTATTTACTTACCTTTCATAGACCTTTTTTAAATTACTGACGGCATTTTATAAGATGAGCGTCAGAAAGACAGCATTTGCGTCATATTTGTAATTTAATAATTATTTCAGCCGTGTGGCGAAATCGGCGAAATCTGTGGCGATTGGCGAAATCACTTTCAAGCAAGGGGGCGCACGTGGTTAATTTGTTTTAGGAAGGAGGGCGTTGATATTAAGTTGTTTTCGGCGGTTGCACTTTTGACATATAAACGTCAAGTTCAGTGTATTTTATCAAAACACACAACAGTAAGTATCGCGATTTTCCCTCTCACCTCACTGCCGACGCTTCCGGCAAATCGCGACCCACGTGCAGCGGTTCTCGCAGCCTTTATTCGTAATGAATATCATACAGTGTTAAATTCATTATTTTCATTTATCAGAAATGATAAGAGGCATGCGAATCAACTGGTCGTCTCCTACCAAATGATTTAACCATTTACATCATCAACAATGAAAATTTGATGCCACTACCTTGCGGTTCCGTTGTCGCCATCCCCAGCCTAAATGTCTTCAAAGCCGGGATAGAGAAGTTTCAGTGCAAGCCGCAATAGGCCAATTACAGCTGAATTATTGCATGAATAAATTTAATTCATTTACGGTCTGAGAGGCCGAAGGCCTTATTTAATGACAATGAGGCTCTGATTCTTTTCACTCATTTTTTTTTTTTGCAGCAAAAGCTGCACCTAAAGCATGTACACACACAGTGCACTCTGGTCGGCAGTGGTTGAGGCTGCACCATATGCACACCACTGAACCCATCACCATCCTCTAGAAAAGTTGATGCAACAGATGAGTGCATGCGTCCAACTTTGCTCAAAAAGTTCATCTTCATAGCCCGTACTGTTCCTGAGCAACAGTCTGTTTTTGTCTTTCCTAATGTTTACCCCGTGGTGCACATGAGCACACGCCAAGGGTGCACCCCCAGCCGCATCATGCTCAAAATTTAAGACGAGCTATGTTGTCACCGACATGACCCACACACCCTGACAATTTCACCTCCACAGGTCAACTGACATCGCCACAGTAAGCATTACGAAAGTGTCAAGACGCAAACGGTGTAGGCAGGGAACTTTTTGTTATTTCTATTTACTGATCTGCCTAGGTCAGCACATTTTTCACACATTTTTCAAATATCCAACAGGTTATTCCAATAACAATAATCCAACAGTAATTTGCATTCTATCACTCCTCTCTGTCTAAAAAAATGAAAAGTAACAATAACAGGCAGTTATGTAAGTAGTTATAAATGTTGCCAAAAGTTGAACATTTAGATCCCTCCCCACCTGTCTTACTGCACCTTGCCCACTCTCTACTCAACAGCTCTCAGCCCCAACAGTGTGGGAGGCAGTCACCAGTATAGATCCCCTCCCCCTCCTTCTGTCTTACAGCACCTCACCCACTCTCCTCTGACAGCTCTCAGCCCCAGCGGTGATGGAGGCAGCCGCGGGGGAGGAGTTCGTACGCCGGCTGCGCGGCCTCATCGAGCCAGACGCCCAGCTCCAGCGCGATGGCCTGGCCTACCTGGACAGTCTGAAGGCCTCTGACGCCGGCTGGCGGCTCTGCGTGGACGCGCTGCTCTCACCGTCATTGGACGCTGAGGAGCACGTGCAGTTTTATTGTCTCCAGGCGGTGGAACACTTTGTGAAGACCCGCTACCCGGCCGAGGCGGACGTGGCGTCGCCTCTGGTGCGGCACTTTATCAATGGATGGGTGCAGCGGCAGGTGAGAAGGCTGGAGGGGAACGGTGGTCAAAAGACAGTCATAAGGCCAGATGGCTCACTCATAATAAGCTCTACTGGATGCCTGGGCTGGACATGACATTGTGGTGTCAGTGGATGCTAGAAGCCTCAGAGGAATGTATTCGTTTACATATTATAGTTTTATGGTTGAGTATCTAGGCATATGATGAACCGCTGTGCAAAATGTTTGACGTCGTATCAAACCTTACGCGCTTTACGACAGCAACTCGGCCTTGCCCGTTTCGACCTGACCGATCCACCAACCTGTCCCGCCGCAGTGTAAGCTGGCCGGCGCGGGCGCCAAGACCTACTTGCGGAACAAGGCGGCGCAGGTGTTCTCCCTGGTGTTCGTCACCGACTTCCCCGACCGGTGGCCGACGTTCCTGCTGGACCTGATGGCGCTCACCCAGCTGGGGCCGCCGGCTGTGGATGCGTTCCTCAGGACACTGCTCCAGATCGACCAGGAGGTACGGAGAGGGGACGGATGGGGTGCAGGGGAAGGAGCTTCTGTGGAGTGGGTAAAGGATTTCGTGTTCGCAGCAGGTGGTCGAGTGCAGTCTTATAGTGTAGGTTGTCATTTTTAGAGCTGGTGATAAGCTTCCGGTTGGACACGTGTTACCGGTTCAATATTATGCCAGAGACATGTTTGTGAGAAGCTGTTTGTCTCCAATTTTTTTTTATGACCTGTGACCATCCCAGCTCCCTCCTTTTAACCCCTCAGATCGTGGACCGTGACGTGGTGCACTCGGAGGCCGAGGCGCGGCGCAACACGCGCATCCGTGACGCCATGCGTGAGAAGTGCGTGCCACAGCTGGTGGAGGCGTGGCTGGCCACGCTGAACACTTACGCCGGCTCGCAGCCGCAGCTGGCCTGCATGTGTCTGGAGGCGGTCGGCAAATACGTCTCCTGGATAGACATTGGACTGGTGAGAGGATGAGTCCATGGGCAGCGTGAGCAGGTGAAGGAGTGGAGGATAGGCGGAGAGGATCAGTGTAGACCATGTAGGGAGGTAGATTTGCAAATGACCTTTTTGTCTGCCGAAGGTTTCATTGTAGCCTATAACCCTCGTCAGTTGGCACATGATCACCCTGATTAGCTTGTCATTTGTCAAACTGCGACTGAAGAAATGTGCAAAAAACCGGTCAAATTCCAATCCCATGTTTTAACGATTGCTTTTATGAAATATTTGCTTTCCGCAACCGTCCTAGTTTCGGTAGAGTTGGTATGTAATAACAGCGTGGGTATCACTAAATGCATCAAGTCGCTGACTGTTGCCTCCTCTCCGCCGTTTCCCCTACGTCCACCCAGGTGGCCAACAACAGCTTCGTCTCGGTGCTGGTGACGCTGCTGGGCCTGGTGGACGTCCGCGAGGCGGCCGCAGAGTGCCTGCACGACATCTGCCACAAGGGCATGGAGCCGCTCAGCAAGGTGCAGCTGGTCGAGTCGCTGTTTGGCGTGCTCGAGCAGGCGTCAGTGTTCGCGCTGCTCGATAATGTTAACGACCAGGTGAGTCATAGTGAGCGTGGGTGGGTGTCGAATCGATGTACTAACGTGCGTAATATATTTGTGATTACGTATCGTGACATGGGTTGTGATGGCATGTCGCGAATGCACATGACCCACTCATGTTGTTGATAAGGTGCCTACATGTTTTATGTCGACGGCTCGTGTTTTTTTCCTCTGATACCGATATTTATTCTTAGGAATGGCCTATGTGTTTTAGATAAATGTTGTTTTTTCTTCTGGTCTCCCACAAAATATCCCGGATTGCATCCAGTGTTTTGTAACAGTATCCGCCCCACGACTGCCCAACTTGACCTGCGTTGACCCCACCCATCTCACAGACGCCGGCCGAAGACGTGGACTACCTCTGTAAGCTTGGTAAGCTGCTGAACGGCATGGGAACAGAACTGGTGCTTTGCTACCACAAACTGGCCAAGACCGGGCCGGGTGCGACAGTCGCAGTCGAGGCCGCTATAGCGGCTAAGATGGGCCGCATGCTGGCCTTCCTGAACTGCGAGTATGACGATCCGTCTCGCAGCGTCATTGACTTCGCCAGGGATTATGTGCAGGTGAGCACGCACGGATTATTGTGATTGGGGTTAACCGTAGTCGGTAGGTAACAAATAGCAGACTAGTCTACAGGACTTATCATTCGTCAGATTGCCAAGAAGTATATCGTGGCCTGTTAATAACCTTTTTTAAACAGACTATTAGAATATCTTACCAGTTTGAAAGCAATACCAAGTCGAGTGCCGGTGTTTCTGGTGTTTCTGGGATGACCCCTGCTTTTCAATGGCATTGCACGACGTACTATCACCTTTATTTGTTTTGTTTTTGCTTTGACGCGTCGTGCCGCTGCAGATGCTGAAGACCAAGCCGATGCTGGCCGAGGCGGAGACCGCACACGTCCGGGACATGGTGTATGTCATCATCCACAAGCTCAAGTACGACGACGAGTACGACTTCCAGGCGCTCGGGGAGGACGAGGCCATGTTCCAGGAGTACAGGTATGGTGCAGGCGCGTCGGTCTGGTAATGGGTCTTTGTGCTGGGAGGGAGAGGCTGCTCCTAGCCATTGGGCGTCTGTGTTTTCGTGTAAAAGCGTCCCTGAAAGGCCATGATTTTCGCTACAAGATACTTTTAAGTTTTAAGCGAGTTTTGCCTTCGCGTATTTGACCGAAAAGATGGATTTTACGATTTGTGTTCGTCCATGGCTGTCTTCAGAGTCCGGCGCAGTTTTCTCAAACATGTCCCAATCTCCATCAGTCCCATCGTTGCGTCTCATTTTATCTAGCTCCGATGCTGGAGTGGCTATAGCTATAGAGGTGCTCCATCGTACCACTGCACTGTTCTCTGAGTTTTGACGTCTATATCTCTTCGTCACCTCCTTCAGGAAGCGGCTGAAGGTGCTGTATGGTAACCTCGCTGCCGTGGACCGGGAGCTGGTGCTCCACATCACGCAGCAGTACATCACGGCCACACTGGACGGATGGCGGCAGCTGCCCATGAAAGACGTCGAGGCGGCCATCACAATGCTCTACATGCTCGGGGAGGCACTGCCTACGCCAGCGGCTGGAAACTTCTTTTCAGAGGACCTGGTAAGGGAGTGGTTAGATATTCTGTTCACCGTCAGTTAGTAAACGGCGGACGAGAACTCGTCAGGAGCAGGGAATTGATGGCTCTTGGGAGTGGGGGTGGGGGAGCGTTATTTGTTTTGGCAGGGCATGGAGAGCTTGTTACTTATGCGCCGCTCGAAGTGATATCCTGCTTGATAAAAAAGCGGTGTTTGGTTTAATTTCATAATTTATTCGTGATCGGACCACTGTGCTGTCAAACAAGCTCACTATTTTGTGATTGGGACTGTGGTTTAAATCTTACAATTTGTAATGATCAAGTTCTTCGAATTCTTCTTCGGTACTGATGAGTCTCCCAGTATTTTCACTGACAACCTTGCCTGTGCCCAGGTCAAGGTGACGCTGCTGCAGACGATGATGCGCCAGCTGGTGACCTCCGACGTCGTCTCCTACCCCCACCACATCGTGCCGTTCCAGTACTTCGAGACCATCTCCCGATACGAAAAGTTCTTCACCGTCGAGACCAGCTATCTGCCGCAGGTGGGTGCGGTTTGACCGCGTGCCGTCATCCCTAGACGGCTGGTGACGAGAATTCGGAACAAAGCTTGCTCCACTGACCTGCAATTACTTGTCTCAGACGAGATACATGTCTTCAGAATTTCCATTTTGTTTTGTATTATGATATACCCTGATTGGGAAGAACTTTTCATTTAAGTTCGCCGGCAATTTCCAAACACTTTCCCAAGATCGGCGTTTCCGAGTGTTTTCGTGATTTCCACATTCATCATCGAATCTTCAGTTTTGTGTCTCTGCGAAAGCTGACATATAGGTTCCGTTTTCTTACAGGTTCTGTCCGCTTTCCTGGATAAGCGTGGCATGAACCACCCAAACGAGCGGAACCGGGCACGGGCCGTCTACCTGTTCTCGCGATTCATCAAATGCCTCAAGTGAGTGTCTCCAATCGCAGTGGTCTGTCCCCTTTTCCAGTTCAGCCCCTGAATATAAACGCAATACTTTTTTACCGCCTTCTTATGAAAGTTGATGGCTCAACGCAATGAGTAAAGTGCTCGCAACGACGTCAGTCAAATACGGACGTTATGTCTTGGAGTGATTAATTTGGTCTATCATTGTACACCATTTACTGTTTAGCCGTTCATGATCGTCCAATAGATTCCCGAATCCTGATTGCGAGTGACTGATTTCTCCGTATTCACCTCCCCAGAACTCAGATGGGCCCGTTCACGGACACTATCCTGGGTCAGATCGGCGACCTCCTCTCGCTAGAGCCGTCGGAGACCACGCTGCTGAATCGTGAGGACCAGCTGTACCTGTTCGAGACCGTCTCGGTGCTCATTATTTCCGCGCCGGCTGATAACAAGGTAAGACCGATTAGGATATGAGGACAGTCCGTGGAGGTCTGAGGAGGGAAACACCTCTCGCCCTGATGAAACGGTTGGTTTGTGGCGTCTCTTGGGTGGACTGGGAGAGAACTACACTTATACCTTGTTACCAAATTTGGTGGCAAATGGTTTCCAAACGATTTTAGATCTTTCGGCGGCAATTTTTGAAGATTTCGTCCAAATGTAAGATCTCAGTCGTTCAGTTTGACGTGCTCATAGTGGTAATCGTCTCACGAGGCTGCGCTCTAACCTTCCTTACCACCCCTCTACCCCTTTCAGCACAAGTGCGCGCAGTTGGAGCGTCTGTTGGGCCCGGTGGTGGGCCAGGTGACGACGCTGGCCGCCCAGCTGGAGGCCGCTCCGGAGGGCTCGCCCGAGGCCGAGCGACTGCAGAAGGCCGCCCGGCACGCTGTAGCCGTCACGGCCCGCACCACCAAGGCGTTCTCGGCCGGCCAGACGATGAAGCTGATTGGCTGCGTGCAGCTGTACCTGCAGGCGCTGCAGATCTTCCTCGGCACGCTGCAGGTTCGTATATCAGCGAGGGGTTGGGGTTAGGCAAAAGGAAAGGGCGTTACACTCTGCTGTGGTGTGCATTGGTTTTGATGAGGGCCGGTAACGTTTGGTAACGATTAAGACGTCCGGCAGTTGCTGCTGATCTAGCGAGTGCGACGTCAAACTCATGTCTTCGGCTGATGTACTAGGTAGGTTCTCTTTTATAATCGTGTTCATAACATTAACATTGCATTCCAACAACATACACTGCTATTGTTTGCACAGGGCCGCCGGCAGTACCTGCTGCTACAGTCCGGCGTGGTCTTTTACTGTATGCCTGGCCTATTCAAATACATTAGCCAGAGGGGTGTGGTAATGACTGGTGTAAGCAAATTGACCACGGTCAAAAATGCATTACCAGAATGCACTAAAGCCAACATTTTGGGATGGTCTCGTTCCTTTAGTCGGCTAAGAGCTTCAGTCCAGAAAATAAATTTATCGTTGGCATACAGTTAAAATACATACCAAACTCGGCCGGTGATAAATTTTCAAGACCTCAGTCCTTACTGATTTTTGAACTCGGCCTTCGGCCTCGTTCAAAAATCCAGTAAGGACCTCGGTCTTGAAAATTTATTTACACCGGCCTCGTTCAGTATTATATAATACCCAATACTGAACGAGGCCGGTGTAAATAAATTTTCAAGACCGAGGTCCTTACTGGATTTTTGAGCGAGGCCGAAGGCCGAGTTCAAAAATCAGTAAGGACTGAGGTCTTGAAAATTTATCACCGGCCGAGTTTGGTATGTATTTTACTGTATGCCAACGATAAAATAATTGTCTAGACCGAAGCTCTTAGCCATTTTTGAACGAGGCCATCCCAAAATGTTGACTTGGTAATTCGTTTTTGACCGTGGTCACTTTGCTTACACCAGTTATTACCACACCCTCAGGCTAATGTAATTGAATAGGCCAGGCATACAGTAAAACTATGACCAAGAAACTGTCGGTGTCAAAATGCCATGTTATTTGATAGGCCGGGCAGGAAACAAAAGTTTACTGCCCGAGTTTACTGCCCAGGGCAATGACCTCTAAACTACAGTTTATCGCATTAGTCCAGAGGTATAATTGACAGGGAATGTATAATTGACATCATTATTGCATGATATTTGCCGCGTAAAATTAGAAAACTAACATTTTTGGGTAAATATCTGCTCTGCTTATCAAGGGTTTTGAAATATTTTGTATTGGTTACAAAGCCGAAATTATGGTAAGATATAGGTACGCCTATTAATCGAAATCCGTTATCGCTTGTTGTCTTATCTTCGTTTGATATGTCCACCTACCTTGGGCCTAAGTTAATGCGTTTATTTGGCAGTTGTAGTCCTTTCCTCGAAACAAACATGTAAAATATGGAAAATATAATGTATTTAACGAACGTTTAGCCATAGGGCATATCAACGAAGTACGATTACATAAATGAAGCAAAGATTCTTGCAAGAGCACTGGGAAAATTCACGTTTAATCACTATATTATACCTTCTTCTTGTTCTTATGTCGTGGCAAATCATTCAATGTTCCTTGGATATCTAATTGTTGTGCCATTCTGAGTTGATATTTTCAGACGTGATTCTTTTTGAAGTAAGGTATTTTGATGCATTTTCTTCTATAAATTTCCTTTAAGGCTTTATCCACAGCAGTAGCGCAATCACTGTTAGGAAAATATGGACAAAACAATTGTATAAGTGTCACCAAAACCTGTCGAAACTAACCTAGCTATGCGGCATGTAGGAAAAATCTTACTGACCTCAGCCGTACGAAATTATTTGGAAACTCGGCTTGCAAAATTTGACTCCGGCCCTCGTGCTTCGCATCGGGCCTACGTCAATTTTGCAAACCTCGTTTCCAAATAATTTC